GTACTGTCTGTGTATCATGTCTTAGTAAATCCGTTGAGAAAAGTAAGGCTTCTTTAAGAAAAATAGACCTGGGTGCTGCTGGACACCTGCTGGAGGGAAGAGGTCTGAATCTTGAAGTTGCCCCAGGGAGCTACCCTTTGACCCCGCCTCAACCCTTTCCCTTGGTTCTGAATCAGCTGTTTCACCAGAGGTCATTCCCTTCACTCCTGTGCTTTTACAAAAGCCACCTCATTGCTTCACAGGTACCTGCATTTTCTTAACAGTCCTACCCGATTTTTATCACTCTTTTAAAATACCTTAGACACAACGTCATATTTGAACTTTTGGTTCCTTATCTAGACACCCAAGCAGGGTTTCCAAATAACCCAGCTTGCGGCACAAGGGGAGTTGAGTTGCATCTTTATTACCCACGCCCCAGCTGTTCACCTCCTTTTAGGAATTTCATGGTACCACCTAAGACAATGAATTGTATTTTATAAAACTGTCTCCTTTGTGCAATTTGTACGTGAACTGTGACCAGGGTACATGATTTCTACAAACGAACATCGGTGCTCATGTTCACACAGGTTCACCAGAGTGGCTCGGGCTGGTCTCCAGTGGTAAGTTTTCACCTCTTTGCTTATTTTCACAGTAGTGTGTGGTTGTATGAACATAAAGGGTTTATGGTTTGTCAGTCCAGGGTATTTATTGGGGTACTTTTCGAGGCACAAAGGATGCGATTAAAACCAGTGATTGGCAGATTTTTTCCGTAAAGTGTAGGATGGTAAAGGTTTTTAGCACGTGCGCCTACATTCCCTGCTGTCGTAGCACAAAAGTACTACTATGTAACTGAACAACCAGGGAGACCAGCCTGGCCAACGTGGTGAAACCCTGTCTCTACTAAAGATACAAAATTAGCCAAGCACGGTGGCACCCACCTGTAATCCCAGCTACGTGGGAGGCTAAGGCAGGAGAATTGCTTGAACCCAGGAGGCAGAGGCTGCAGTAAGCCGAGATCACACGGCTGCACTCCAGCCTGGGCAACAGAGCTAGACTCCATGTCAAAAAAAAGACAAGACACAGAGTTAAGGAGGTGACATTTACTTGCGTTAGCTGAGTCCCTGTCATCGCAGCCCTGACATACAGCGTCTCTTTCAAATCCCCTAACATGGTCCTTTTTTTTTTTCCAAAAATGATTTAGGATGCAAAGAGTGAGTGTGCTCATGGGTCACACGGCAGTTTTGTTCTGAAAATGGTTTTTTCAGCGAGAGCTCAGACAGAAGACCTGGGGGAGGGCCTCACTGTGTGGCTTTGAGTAAAGTGTGTCTTGCCCTCCCTCTGTTCCCTCTCCAGTACATGGAAGACAACTTGGGGGTGATGTCAGTGGGTTTCCTGCTCAGCAGTCCTGATGACGCTGTTATCTGGAGGGGACCCAAGAAAAACGGTTTGCCGCTCTGCCTTTTTTTGTCTCTCACATCCTTCCACGAGCGTCGTGGCTCTCGGCCTCATCTGCACCCTGTCCTGCCAGTCTCAGCCTGCTGGGCCTCACAGTATATTGTTTTTAAGCATCCATTGCCTCTTCTTCACTGGTTGAAAAGAGCTCATCGAAATACCAGTTTTCCCTTATATAATTATAAGTATCTGCTGTGAGTTTTTCTCTCCTAAAAAGCTATAGAACCCTGGCCAGGTTGGGTATCTCACACCTGTAATCCCAGCACTTTGGGAGTCCGAGGCGGGCAGATCACCTGAGGTCAGGAGTTTGAGACCAACCTGGCCAACATGGTAAAACCCCGTCTCTACCAAAAACGTAAAAAATTAGCTGGGTATGGTGGTGTGCACTTGTAATCCCAGCTACTTGGGGGGCTGAGGCAGGAGAATCGCTTGAACCCAGGAGGCCGAGGTTGCAGTGAGCCGAGATCATGCCACTATAGAACCCTGAAATTATTTTTATCATGGTTTCATCGTGGCTTATTTGGGTTAGAGAGGTGAGATCAGCAGCAGGTTGATCTGGTACTGAGACTTAGGGTAATAATGTGAAACTGTTATCAGGACGAGCTTCCTCAGCCTCAGCTCTATTGAAATTTGGAGCCAGATAAATAAAGAAAAAATGAGCATCCCCTGCGATTCCTCTTTCTAGGCATGATCAAGCAGTTCCTCCGAGACGTGGACTGGGGAGAGGTGGACTACCTCATTGTGGACACCCCACCTGGGACGTCAGATGAACACCTCTCAGTCGTCCAGTACCTGGCCGCAGCACACATCGACGGAGCAGTGATAATCACCACTCCCCAGGTGAGCAGGCTCCCAGGTGGAGCTGGGTCCAAACTGTGCGCCACACTGCAAGGCTTCCTTCCTGCAACGCTCTGATACCCTGGTCTCACCAAGGTTCTTCCCAGTGTGTATTACACAGCTGCATCTAATGCGGATCTGCAAAAATCTCTTGTTAAAAATGTCAGCCGGGCACAGTGGTTCACACCTGTGATCCCAGGACTTTGGGAGGCTGAGATGGGAGAATTGCTTGAGTCCAGGAGTTCGAGATCAGCCTGAACAATATAGTGAAACCCCATCTCTACAAAAAATATTTTAAAATTAGCCAGGCGTGGTAGCTCGCACCTAGAGTTCCAGCTACTCGGGAGGCTGAGGTGGGAGGATCATTTGAGCCTGGGGAGAGGAGGTTGCTGTGAGCCACGATCACGCCAATGCACTCCAGCTGGCACAACAGAGTGAGACCTTGTCCCAAAAGAAAAATAAGAAAATAAGTCATCTTTAGTCTAGACATTTGTAGCTATCAATGATGTATTTTTTTTAGTCCATAAATTAAACAGTAGTGGGTCAAGAATGCTTTTCGAAGGTTCCTTGAGGAAACTAGTGAAGCCACCAGTGCAGTTATAATTCACATCATGTTGCCTGGTGCCGTCAGCCTTGCCATGTCCGCGCATCGAGTCCCCTAGTCTACAGTGTATTTCCATTTACATCCCAGTATGATTTAGGAAATCTCTCCAGTTTTCAACAGAACTAGCTGGGTGCAGTCAGGGATTTCGGGATAAGCCCCTGGGTACCCTTGCTCCTTCCGTAGTGACACCCAGTGCCCCTCTGTACCAGTCACCTAGTGGCTGTGCCCCTGGATCCATGGTGAGCCCAAGCTGAGAAGAAAGCAATAAGAAGTTTCCTCTCCGTAATCCCTACAGAGAGCACCTGAAGGCAGGACCATGGCACTGTCCATCCCAGGGTCCTGCGTAACCAGGGGCCCTCCTCCACAGTTATGCTTGACTGCTCTTCATGATGTTCTCCTCCACACCTAAGAAAGCCCAACAGAGGAGGTTTGGTTTGATCTCATTGGTCAGAATCAGTCAGGACGACCCATAGTCTCACCCTCATCCAGCACTCACTGAGCTCCAACTACGTGCTGGGCATCAGGGCAGTAAAAAGGCCTGGTCCCCCATAGTGGCCCCTGTGGCCCCCTGAGGAACACAGGTGCCAGACACACTCATGAGGGCTCAGCCAGTGGAGTGGCAGGCCCAGCAGCCGTGGGAAGGGTGTCTGGGTCAGAAAATGGTGACAGGATTCATGTCCGTTTTGGCATTCTGCAGAGAGGGGACATGGGGGCGCATGGAGGAGCAGAACAAAGTGGTTGGTGCTAGGCACAGTGGCTCATGTCTGTAGTCCCAGCATTTTGGGAGGCCAAGCCGGGCGGGTCACTTGAGGTCAGGAGTTCAAGACCAGCCTGGCCAACATGGCAAAATCCTGTTTCTACCAAAAAATAACAAAAATTAGCCTGGCATGGTGGCAGTCACCTGTAATCCCAGCTACTTGGGAGGCTGAAGCAGGAGAATCACTTGAACCCAGGAGTCAGGGTTGCAGTGAGTCAAGTTCATGCCACTGCACTCCAGCCTGGGCAACAGAGTGAGACTCCATATCAAACAAACAAATGAGAGACTGAGCCACAGCCCAGTGACTTTCTAGCTGAACACCACTTCCTCTGCATCCCGCCTCAGTGCCGTGAGTCAAACATGTATGTCAGGAAAAAAGGCTCCAAGCTGCAAGCCTTTTGAGCTAACGTGAGTGGTGAAGCCAAAGGTGCTAAGGAGTTACTACACCTGACAGTGACCAGCCACAGCAGTACTTGGGCACAGGGTCCTATGATAATGTGAACTGGGGAAAACAGGCAGCTTCTGAGCACTGTTCATGCGCAGTAAACACTAAAAACTCAGAGTTCAGAAGGGAATGCGGAGTTGTCCACGTGGGGCAATACTCCCTATTTCTTTTTAGTCCATAAAGTTGTTTGTGTTCATAATTATCTGTCTAGATCAGGGATCGGCAAACTTTCTGTAAAGGACCAGATAGTAAGTAGGCTTTGCGGACCCCGCGGTCCCTGGCGCAGCCCCTCAGTTGTGCCACTGTGGAGTGAAGCAGCCACAGGCAGTGCCCAGAGGGATGGGCATGGCTGGTTCCAAAGGAACTTGATTTATAAAACCAGCCAGATTCAGTCCCCAGGCTGGGGTTTGCCAAGCTGTGGTCTAGAAAACAGTGCACACTCAGGCTGAATAAATTTAGGACATGGAGCATGGAGACGTGTTAAAAGGTCATTTTCAGATAGGCATGGTGGCTCACGCCTGTAATCCCAACACTTTGGGAAGCCGAGGCAGGAAGATCACTTCAGACCAGGAGTTTAAGACCAGTCTGGACAACATAGCAAGACCCTATCTCAGTAGCATATGCCTATAGTCCTAGCTACTCGGGAGGCTGAGGCAGGAAGATTGTGTGAGCCCAGGAGGTTGAGGCTGCAGTGAGCCGTGATTGTGCCACTGCACTCCAGCCTGGGCAACAAAGTGAGTTCCTGTCTCTAACAATAAACAGTCATTTTCTTTCAAATTTATTTCTTGTGATTTGGCTGTGTGGGAATTAAATAGCACCTCAAACAAACAGGGCTTAGCGCTAGTAGGTACTGAATAAATATGGACTTGGCGGGGTCAGATATTAGTTCATTCTCACACTGCTGTAAAGAACTGTCTGAGACTGGATAATTTATAAAGGAAAGAGGTTTAATTGACTCACAGTTCCACATGGCTGGGAAGGCCTCAGGAAACTTACAGTCATGGAAGAAGGCGAAGCAGGCACATGATACACAGTAGCAGCAGTGAGAGAGACTGTGTGTAGGAGGAACTGTGAAACATTTATAAAACCCATCAGATCTTGTGAAGACTCACCATCACAAAACAGCATGGGGGAACCGCCCCCATGATCCAGTCACCTCCCACCTGGTACTGCCCTCAACACGTAGGGATTGTGGGGATTACAATTCGTGATGAGATTTGGATGGGGACACAGAATCAAACCATACCAGGGCAGAAACCTCTAAGGCTCACGACAGCAGATCCACTGCATTGCAGCCACCCCCTCAGGTGCACAGACATTCCCTTTCTCGCACTTTGATGCTGGAATCACTGATCTCTTCACCTTCGTAGGAGGTGTCCCTCCAGGATGTCCGGAAAGAAATCAGCTTCTGCCGCAAGGTGAAGCTGCCCATCATCGGGGTGGTGGAGAACATGAGTGGCTTCCTCTGTCCTAAGTGCAAGGTGAGGGCCCATGGGGCCGCCAGGCGATCTGAAGATGCTGCTGCTTTCACGGTTGAGCAGTCAGTCAGAAGGGTGCTCTGCACATGGTTTCTGCTTTCCCCGGCATTTTGGGAAGTGGACTCACAATTAAAATCCCTTTCTGCTGACTCAAGGAAAGTTCTTTTGGTGTTAAGTGTTTCACATTCAAACTAAGCTTTTGTGTGTGTGTAAGTTTCTTTAAAATGTAGTCCATCCAGGCCGGGTGCGGTGGCTCATGCCTATAATCCCAGCACTTCGGGGGGCCGAGGTGGGTGCATCACCTGAGGTCAAAAGTTTGAGACCAGGCTGGCCAACATGGTGAAACCCCATCTCTACAAAAATACAAAAAAATTAGCCAGGCATGGTGGTGGGTGCCTGTAATCCCAGCTGTTCAGGAGGCTGAGGCAGGAGAATCGTTGGAACTGGAGAGGTGGACGTTGCAGTGAGCCAGGATTGCCCCATTGCACTCCAGCCTGGGTGACAGAGTGTGACTCTATCTCAGAAAAAAAAAAATGTGGTCCATCCTTGTGATTCTGCAAGAAAATCATGTTTCCTCCCCTTTGAATTTGCCTTGCAGAAAGAATCTCAGATATTCCCTCCCACGACCGGGGGCGCGGAGCTCATGTGCAAGGACCTGGAGGTCCCTCTCCTCGGCAGAGTGCCCCTGGATCCACTCATAGGTGGGTGACCCCGGCATGGGGCGGAACCTCACTCCTCGGTCAGTCCCACAGTCATGGGTTGGGCATGACAGTGGGTAGCTACGGATAGGGGCAATGGAAGGAAGAAGGTCAGTGGGGTACTGGAGCCAGACCCATCCTCCATCTGGCACCCCCAGAGGCCTCTGGGAGAAAAGCAGCGGGAGCAAGCAGGCCTCAGGCAGATAAGATCGAGGCCTGTAAGAACGGGTTAGAAGTTGGTGAGGGCAGTGGTGGCAGGGGACTGACAAGGGCGCTCAGTAGAGGGGCAGCTCCAGGGGACACAGATCACTGACCTGTGAGCAGGGGCCACATTCCCAGAATGGTCTGGGGGGAGGGTTGGGGCCAAGTATTTGTGGGGAGGGTTGGAGGGTGGGAGCCTGGAGGCGGGGAGAGCGGAGGCCACCTGGGGTGCCCTGGGGGAGGGCCAGGCCCGCATGGGGAGCTCAAGGGGAGAATGGGAGCCTGTGGGAAACGGCTAAGTGTCATTATCACTGAGTGTCAGTGTCCTGTGCCCGGGATCAGGAGGCCCAAGGGTGGCTGCCCTGGGGTCAGAGTTCAGAATGTGTCACTGGGTTCTGGCGTTGGTATAGAAAGGAGGGGACACACAAGAGAGAAAGTGACAGGATCTGATGGTCCAAGTTGTCCCCACTGCCAGTACAAGCCACCTGGAGGAGGGTCCGTCCTTCAGAGACAGTGAAGCAGGGGCGAGGCCGGGCCCTCTGGGGTGCTGCAGCTGAGAGGTGAGGGGGCTCAGGTTGTCAGCAGGCTCTGGGGTCAGTCAGGAGAAGGTGGTTTGTGTCCATGCAGGCGAGTGTTGAAGCCACAAGGCACAGACAGGACTGCCAAGGGGCTGCACAGAAAGCGAGAGCCAGGACAGTGCTGGGGGCGGCTGCCGTTGAGGAAGTGGTGAAGGGGTGCGAGGGCCACTTGGCGGTTGGGAACGGCCCTGGAGAACCCCAGGGACCCCGGGAGGCTGGGTCCCAAAATCCTTCTTCCCTTCTTCCCACATCCCTAAATGCTTCTCTGGCATGATTTCCCCGACAAAATGTACAAAAGTACAGCTGCTTTCTCAGCCTTCCCCAGCATTATAAAACACTCACCAGGCAGCTTTTGCAGTGACCAGAGTGGTGCTAAGAGCTGCCCTCAAAGGTCCCTGGAGGCAGGCAGGCCACATGAATGGACGTGACTGGGGCCGGCGGGGAGCTTGCAGCAGCCGGGGGCACAGACATTCCTGCCAGCTTGTACCTCTGCCACAGGTCAGCTCTGCCGAGATGGGATTGATGGACAGGACATTTGTCAGGGGAAGTATCTGTGGAAGAAAATGACAAGGGAGAGCATTAGCCCACAATGAAGGAGTAGGGGAAGGAACATATCAGCCCACAAAAGGATCTCAGCCCACAGGAGTATCTCAGCCTGAGGGAGCATCCCAGCCCTCAAGAGCATCTCAGCCCAAGGGAGCATCCCAGCCCTCAAGAGCATCTCAGTCCATAGGAATATCCCAGCTCTCAAGAGCATCTCAGCCCACAGGAGCATCTCAGCCCATGGGAGCATCCCAGCCCAAAGGAGCACCTCAGCCCACAGGAACATCTCAGCCTACTGGACCATCCCAACCCTCAAGAGCACCTCAGCCCACAGGAGCATCGCAGCCCAAAGGAGCACCTCAGCCCACAGGAGCATCTCAGCCTACTGGACCATCCCAACCCTCAAGAGCATCTCAGCCCACAGGAGCATCGCAGCCCAAAGGAGCACCTCAGCCCACAGGAGCATCTCAGCCTACTGGACCATCCCATCCCTCAAGAGCATCTCAGCCCACGGGAGCATCCCAGCCTGAAGGAGCATCTCAGCCCAAAGGAGCACCTCAGCCCACAGGAGCATCTCAGCCTACTGGACCATCCCAACCCTCAAGAGCATCTCAGCCCATGGGAGCATCCCAGCCTGAAGGAGCATCTCAGCCCAAAGGAGCACCTCAGCCCACAGAAGCATCTCAGCCTACTGGACCATCCCAACCCTCAAGAGCATCTCAGCCCATAGGAGCATCTCAGCCCAAAGGAGCACCTCAACCCACAGGAGCATCACAGCCCAAAGGAGCATCTCAGCCCACTGGAGCATCTCAGCCTACTGGAGCATCTCATTCTGTTGGAGTGTGTCAGTCTATTAGAGCATCTCAGTCTGCTGGATGTGTCAGTCTGTTGGAGCATCTCAGTCTGCTGGAGTGTCTTGGCTGCTGTCAAGGAAAGCTGGGGACAGCCACCAGGGCATTCCTGGGTTCACTCACCCATCAGAGGGGCTGCATCTCCTAGGAACGTGCCTGACTGAGTGCCATGCTCGGCTCAGTCACTAGCAAGGAGCAGCCTGAGTGTGGCATTGCCTTGACACAAACATGGTGATGGGTTTTGGAGCATGGCAGCTGCTGTCAGAGATCCAGGAGGAGTGTCCTTGTGGTCATCACAATTGCCACATTTTCCAGTGTTGAAAGAAGAGCTGGAAGTTCAAGACCAGCCTTGGAAACATGGTGAAACCCGTCTCTACTAAAATACAAAAAAATTAGCCAGGCATGGCGGTGTGCGCTTATAATCCCAGCTATTTGGGAGGCTAAAACAGGAGAACTGCTTGAACCTGGGAGGTGGAGGTTGCAGCGAGCCAAGATTGTGCCATTGTTCTCCAGCTTGGGCAACAGAACAAGACCCTGTCTCAAAAAAAAAAAATGCCATACTTGCTGACCCACCCAAATATTTCCATGGGCCCAGCCACAGGTCTGCCATTGCCATTGTTCGACAGATCAGGAAGTGACCTTGGGGCCCTCTGTTAGATCCTGATGTGACTTGTCTTCCAAAGAGCCACCAACCTCCATCTTCCCCACTCCCTCAGCCCACTCCTGGCATTAACCCTGGTCTTTCCTTTCAGGGCCAGTTTTCACAAAGAAAATTCCAGGTGGTTCACAAGAGCTCATTTCAAAGCAGAGGAGTCCCCTGTGACAGCTGCGGGCTCATTCTGAGCTGAGAGAGGATTAAGTGTCTTCTAGTGAGCACGGTCCTGTGTGTCAAATGGCACACTGCGGAACCTAACCTCAAGGGGAGACCACAGATAACAAGGCCAGGGAGTGCCAGAAAGGAAGGGGTGGTTCACACTGTTGCACACCCAGGAGGGTGGAGTGTGAGGGCCAAGTGACACGCATCTGGCCAGGTCACTGGGGACAGAGTGGGGGCAAAGCCACCTTCCTAGGAACAGACAGGAAGGCGTGAGGACAGCACTTCAGTCCCCTCTGGGAACATGGTGGCAAAGAGTTATAGACGTCAGCACCCTGGTGCTGTGGGTCCTGGCCTCATGTGCTGACGATCACAGGAGGGCTGGCCTCAGATCCTCTGCCACCACTAGCTGTGGGACTTGGGCTAGTCATTTCACCTCTCTCAGCCTCAATGGCCTCGTGTGTAAAATGCAGGTGACAGTGGTACCTAGTGAGAGGGATCTACAGGGATGGAGTGAGAGGATGCTTGGGATCTCTTGGACAGGGTTGAGCTCACACTAGCTGTTCTGACAGTGCCGCCTGTTCTTGGAGAGGTGGGAGCCCAGGGGAAATGTGGTTAAGATGGGAAACACTAGAGCAGCTTTGTGTGCTGGGAGCTGGGGAGCCCTCTGGGGAAGAGAGCCCTGAGTGAAAGTCAGGGACAGAAAGTAGGCCCAGCATGACTCTTCTGGGATCCCCATGCTCCCAGGTCTGGCCCAGTGAACGAGCACTCATGTGCCTCCCTGGTGAGTTCCACATGAGCTCATGGTCCCCGTGTTAACAGTGGAGGTGGTCCAGGTTCTTGGCATCTTACACGAAAAACTGGGCAAAACACACAAAGCAAGGAAGGAATGAAGGGATTTATTAAAATAAAAGCACACTCCATGTTGTGGGAGGGGAGTGGGCCTCAACACAGGGCTCAAAGACCCCATTACAGAGTTTATGTGAGTTTAAATACCCTCTGTGTGGGGTACGCCCCATATAAATGAAGAGGATGAAGTAAAGTTACAAAGTCATTTACGGTGTACATTCTATGGAGAGGACATTTCCTGTGATAGCTGAAGTGTGAACTGGCCTTACGTTCCCTGCCTCCAGACCCTATTTCCCTGCCTCACCAGGTCATCTGAGCTCCACATTTCCCACCAGCCTCTCCCCACAGGCCTCTTCCCCCACTTGGGCTCCCCTGTCCCACAGAGTGACACAGTAGTAAAGTTGAAGAAATGAGTGCAAGGTGGGAACCCCTCCTGGGGTTCACCTAAGGCTGGTGACCGACCATGGGCCGTGCAGTCACTTAGCCCTGTTTCTCAGGGCCTGGGGAATGGGCAGAGTAAGCTGATGGCAAGTCCACCCATGAATGGGGGCTGGCAGGGCAGACCGGAGGCAAGAACATTCCCAAGAATGACCCCAAGCCCCCTATGTCTTGTCCACCTGGCTCTGGGATAACGTGGTCCTAGAGAAACCTGGATGTGCATAGGAGGGGACTGGAGCAGTGGCCACATGGCGGGGAAAGACCAACACACCGATGGACACCAGTGCAGATGACCGGGAAGATAACATTACAAGCAGCAGGCGGAATGTGTGTGTCACATGCTCCCATTTGTATTTTAGGTATATGCGAGTATGTGGGTTTGCACACTTGCGACCGTGCACCACATTTATATACCCATAATATTTCTGGACACTAGTAGCCCTTTTTGGACTTGCCTTCGTGGTATATCCTTTTGTATTCTGTACTTTTTTTAACCATGTGCATTCGTGATCCTTTTACTCAAAAGCTAGTTAATCTCTTAAAATGCAGACTCGTGGGCCCACCTGGAAGCTGCTGAATCAGTTCTCTGTAGGGCCCTGGAACCTGCATTTGCCACACACCACCTGATGATTTAGCCATGCTGAAATGCTGGCTGGGGACCCTGCTGGAAGGAGGGTCCCAGAAGCCCCAATAGCCTGTTCTACTTTGCTCTTCACTACAAGTGAAGGGCTCAAGATCTTTCCATTGTCACCAGCACAGGAAGAGTCCCAAGATCTTGTGGCCACTGAGTTTTCCTCTTGGACTGAATTGTATTCCATTTGTTTCTTTTAAGGTAAGAATTGTGACAAAGGCCAGTCTTTTTTGATTGACGCCCCAGATTCCCCAGCCACGTTAGCCTACAGAAGTATAATTCAGAGTAAGTATTTCTATGAGTAGTAAATGCAGAGGCCTGTGGGGCAGGAAGCAACATAAAGGAGCTAAGCATGTGGGGATGTGGAAGGACAGACGGGTGGTGGGGTCTGCGATGACCGTAGAGTGGCCCCATAGCCCAGGAAGCCAGGAATCCAGGAGAAATTTCTCAGTGTGTGAGTATTGTGAACACATTCATAGTTTAACAAATAATGGTGAGGGTGAAATTTATGGCTTAGGAAATACATCCTATTAAAGCTATAAAGTAATTGATTTTAAAAAGTAACTGATTTAAAAACAACAATAGGCCAGGCGCAGTGGTTCACACCTGTAATACCAGCACTTTGGGTGAGGAGGCAGGCAGATCACTTGAGGCTGGTCAAGAGTTTGAGACCAGCCTGGCCAACGTGGCAAAACCATCTCTACTAAAAATACAAGTTAGCCAGGTGTCTTGGCACACATCTGCCCAGCTACTCAGGAGGCTGAGGTCGAATGGCTTGAACCTGGGAAGTGGAGGTTCCACTCCCAGAGAACCTGGAAGTGTTCATGAGCCCAGATGATGCCCCTGCACTCCAGCCTGGGCAACAGAGTGAGACTGTATCTCTAAAAAAAAGCAAAACCATGGTGAGCCAGACCAAATCCAAGTGCAGCCCACATTCAGCCACTGGCAGCCATCAGAGGCCTCGGTTAAAGCAGAGTTGTCAGTGTTTGTCAAAGCTGCAGCCTCTGAGTCTGTGGCTGGATTTTACTTGCCTAGAAAAATGATGTCAAGGGTAAGGAAACAGCATTCCCAGAATCCTCCATCTATAGATGGGCCAAGGAAGGTCTCAGCCATTGGTTATGACCGTGATGGGTAGTGTGAGGTATTTGGGTCACTTTCAAAGACTCAGGGCATCACAGACACAGGGCTTTTTATGGAACTAGCCAGAGGATTCCACCCCTGTTAAGACATGCCCCCTCTCCCACTTCCCCAGCACAGGACAGGGCTCTAAGGGGGCAGACAAGCCATGAGCGTTCTATGCCTGTCATCTTGTTTTCCAGAAATCCAGGAGTTTTGCAATCTCCATCAGTCAGAAGAAGAGAACCTCATCAGTTCTTGAAACAAGAGAATGTTCAGGACCAGCAGTTACCGAGCGGGGCATTCATGGGGCAGCACATCCAGCCAGACCCAACCAGCTCCAGGACGGGGTGGGTCACAGCAAAAAGGAACAAGACCCTGGTGTGGTCCAAAGCCACTTTCTCAGAGACACTTTCATCATCGAGTATGTGTACACTATTGTTTAGAACATATATAAAGGGCATTCTTTACAAATGTGCCATTTTAAGAATTAAAAACCCCTCCTCAAACCTCTCCTCCGAGGCCTGCTTCATGTAAAAAACAAACGAGTAATGGGACCATGGGATTCTGCTGTGTCAGAAGCTTAGTTGATTATAGAAACTCCCATTTAAGCCATTTCTGCCTCTGAAGAGAAGAAATGAACAGAACCAAAGGGGTGAGTGTACCGCATCACTGCGGAACACACAGGGACATTTCCAAACAGCACACAGTCCAAACGCTCTTCTTCAGACTGAGGAAAAATCTAAGTCACAGAGCTCATGCTGGGGTTCGTTCTAAAATCACTCTGTATGATGCAGCTGGGTCAACTCAAAAAGGCCTTGAATCACTCAGTAAGACAGAATTTGGGGTCTGTGTATACACCCTGTATAACGTGCTTAGTATATCCAGTAATGTCCAGTGTCATGTACAAAACAGTTTTCAGGTTTTTAAATTAAATTAAAAAGAGTCAGATGTAAATGCTACAGTCATCATTGCCATGAGATGCTTGCTCTGTTTGAGACACACAGGATCAGAGGTAGCTGAGAGAAGAGTAAATTCCTGTTTTCCATCAGCTCTGGGGCATAAAAGCGGGCGAGTGGGAAACAAGAACAGATCCCCTTGTTCTTTCCCTTCCTTGTATCTTTTCCCTCCCCACCCTTCCCTGGGCCTGCACATATGGTCAGATTTGCACATGTGCAGTGTGAGGAAGCTGTGACCTTGCTCCCCACCCCCCAGCTCTCGCCCCAAGAGCAATGAGGCTGCAAAGCCTAGGGAAGGCCCAGTGCCCAGTCTGCTTCCTGCCTGGCCATGCACCTGGCCACCCCAGGGAACGGGGGAAACCCACCGAGAGCCTGGGTCCCTGGGCCCCAAGAGCTGCATTTATCAGAACTCCCAGCCCCTCCAAATGGATGCCATGATCCATTTCTCACCTAATGCTAGTGAATCTCCAGCCCCTCAAGGCCAGGCTTCTGGAAGTCCTCTGGGCAGGCCTGCAAGGGGAAAAGTCAACCATGGTTATCTGTCCTTACATGCAAGTGGGCCAATCCTGCTGATTTAAGGCCAGAGAAAACCCACAAACTACAGAAAACCTGCGGAATTGGATGATGTCTTGGCATAAAGCAGCGCTGTTCAGATTTAAGATGGTTCAAACCATTTCAGGATGAACCTGGACAAATTTGAAAGACTCTGTATCTCAGTTTTAGAAATATCTGTTAAGTTAAAAAAAAAAAAAAAAGGCCAGGCATGGTAGGTAGCTGAAGCCTGTAATCCCAGCACTTTGGGAGGTTGAGGCTGGCAGATCACTTGAGGCCAGGAGTTCAAGACCAGCCTGGCCAACATGGTGAGACCCCATCTCTACCATAAACACAAAAATCAGCCAGGCATGGTGGTATGCACCTGTAATCCCAGCTACTCAGGAGGCTGAGGCAGGAGAATCACTTGAACCTGGGAGGTGAAGGTTGCAGTGAGCCGAGGACGAACCATTGCACTGCAGCCTGGGAGATAGAGCAAGACTGCATCTCAAAAAAAAAAAAAAAAAAAAAAAAAAAAAACGCCAAGCGCAATGGCTCATGCCTAAATCCCAGCACTTTGAGAGGCTAAGGTGGGGGTGGATCACGAAGACAAGAGATCGAGACCATCCTGGCCAACATGGTGAAACCCTATCTCTACTAAAAATATAAAAGTTAGCTGGGTGTGGTGGCATGCACCTGTAGTCCCAACTAATCAGGAGGTTGAGGCAGGAGAATCACTTAAACCTGGGAGGCGGAGGTTGCAGTGAGTCGAGATCCTCCCACTGCTCTCCAACCTGGTGACAAAGTGAGATTCCATCTCAAAAAAAAAAGAAACTCTTTGTGACTCCTTCCTTAATTCTGTGGTTTTAAAATTCACTGAAAATTAACAATGGCAGTTACAAAAGGACAAAAACTATGATTGCACTTACAGGAGGTCCCTAAGCAGTCAAACCCACAGACAGAAAGCAGAGTGCTGGTTGTAGGGGCAGGAGGCGAGGAGAAGGGGGAGGTAAGGTTTTTCGGGTACCAAGCTTAGATTTTGTAGGATGAAGGCAGTTCTGGAGCTGGGTGGGGGAAGGTTGCACAACAAGGTGGTTATACTTAATGACACAGAACTGTGCACTTTACAACAATGGTTAAAATGGTATTTTTTATTTAAATCTTAACAATTAAAAAACAAAACTTTGAGGCATGGTGGCTCATGGCTATAATCCCAGCACTTTGGGAGGTCAAGGCAGGTGGATTGCTGCAACCATCACGCCATTGCACCCTAGCCTAAGTGACAGAGCGAGACCCCGTCTCCCAAAAAATAAATAATAAAACAATGGCAGCCTGGCTGATATGTTACATTACAAACCACAGTTGCCAGCAGGCCACCTTGACCTTGACTACCTGGAGAGGAGTGGTCAAGGAGACAGACCTCAATAACTCACCGTCTGGAACACCGTCTGGGACAGGAAACTGGCTGTGACCTTGCTGATGTCACTGTTGCCTCCCATCTTACAAAGGATGTAGCCATACAGGTTTGCAGCTTGGAGAGAGATCCCAGCAACCACCAGAGCCTGCACGCAAAGAAAACAAAGGTCACTCTCTAAGAGCACTTAGAGAAATGCGCCTCTCAAGCCAAGTACAGGTAGCTCTAGCCTGCGCCTAAGGCTAGTAACAGCCAACATTTACGGAGCATTTACAAATACCCATGGACACCTCCGAATCATTACAACCAGAGAGGCTGCCACCATCATCATCCCATTTTACAGGGAGGAAAATGAGGCTCAGGAAGACGAAAGCTGCCCAAGGCCACAGAGCTGGAGCGTGGTCGAGCCGGGATCCAAATTCGAGAGCCCAAACTCATTAGATGACACTGTTGTTCTACTATCTACAAGTATTTTGTTCTCGTTCTCTCTCTCTCTCTTCTCTCTCTCTCTCTCTCTCTCTCTCTCTCCTCTCTCTCTCTCTCTCTCTCTCTCTCTCTCTCTCTCTCTCTCTCTCTCTCTCTCTCTCTCTCTCTCTCCTCTATTTTTTAAGATGGAGTCTTGCTCTGTCACCTAGGCTGGAGTGCAGTGGTGCTCATGGCAACCTCTGCCTCCCAGGTTCAAGTGATTCTCCTGCCTCAGCCTCCCAAGTAGCTGAGATTACAGGCATATGCACTATGCCCAGCTAATTTTGGTATTTATAGTAGAGACAGTGTTTTGCCACGTTGGCCAGGCTGGTCTTGAACTCCTGACCTCAGGGGATTTACCTTCCTTGGCCTCCCAAAGTGCTGGGATTATAGGCGTGAGTTACCATGCCTGCCCTATGTGAGTCCATTTATATGAAATGCCCAGAATAGGCAAATCCATAGAAACAGAAAAATTAGAAGGTGCCAGGCCTTAGAGGAACAGAAGCATAGGGAAGCAATGTTGAAAGGGGGTGCCAGGCTTCTTTTCCAGTTGGTGAATATGCCCTAACATTGATGGTGGTGCTGGCTGCACAACTCTGTGACTGTACCAGAAGCCACTGAATTTCACACTTTTTTTTTTTACTTTTGGAGACAGTCTCACTCCAGCACCCAGGCTGGAGTACAATGGCACAATCTTGGCTCACTGCAACCTCTGCCTCTCAGGCTTAAGCGTGCACGTCAGCATGCCTGGCTAATTTTTGTATTTTTTGCAGAGATGGAATTTCGCTATATTGCCCAGGCTGGTCTCGAACTCCTGAGCTCAAGCAATCCTCCTCCTCAGCCTCCCAAAGACCTGGGATTACAGGCGTGAGCCACCACGCCCAGCCCCTAATTGTACACTTCAAATAGGTAAGTTTTATGGAATGTGTATTATATCTCAGCAAACTTGTTACACTTGATCAATCAATAACAAATAACAACAAAAGCTACTGGTGCAGACACTGGTTTTGCAGAGACGTCAAAGCAATGTGGAAGTCAAAGTATGGACTTACCAGCCACTTCAGCTTCAAGGAAAATAAGGTGCTAAAAAAAAATACAATCCATATCATGGGGCAGATTATGAGGCCCAGCCAGAAGATTCGTGCTTCCGCTTCTGTGGCAGCGATGTTATTCGGAGAGACCTGTTAAAGGAAAGTAATTCAACTGTCAAAACAAGTGGAAGTGATTGCAAAGCAGCGTGCTCACATTTTCTTTTTTCTTTTCTTTTCTTTTCTTTTTTTTTTTTTTTTTTTGAGACAGAGTTTCGCTCTTGTTACCCAGGCTGGAGTGCAATGGCGCCATCTCAGCTCACTGCAACCTCCTCCTGGGTTCAGGCAATTCTCCTGCCTCAGCCTCCTGAGTAGCTGGGATTACAGGCACGTGCCACCATGCCCAGCTATTTTTTTGTATTTTTAGTAGAGACGGGGTTTCACCATGTTGACCAGGAGGGTCTTGATCTCTTGACCTCGTGATCCACCCGCCTCGGCCTCCCAAAGTGCTGGGATTACAGGCGTGAGTCACGGCACCTGGCCACATTTTCATCTATTTTATTTTGCAGATGCTTTTGTTGTGGCGTTTTTTGGCTTTGTTTTGTTTTGAGACCGACTCTTATTGTGTTGCCCAGGCTAGAGTGCCATGGCATGATCTTGGCTCACCACAACCTGCACCTCTCGGTTCAAAGTGATTCTCCTGCATCAGCCTCCTGAGTAGCTGGGATTACAGATGCCTGCCACCATGCCTGGCTACTCTTTGTATTTTTAGTAGAGACAGGGTTTCACCATGTTGCCCAGGCTGGTCTTGAACTCCTGACCTCAAGTGATGCACCCACCCAAAGTGCTGGGATTAAAGGCATGAGCCATTGTGCCCAGCCTATTTTTGCAGATACTTTTGCTACACATATGCTTCACCAGGGCACCCACAGCGGTGGTTTAGTGTAGGGCAGGAATCGGATATGCACAAAACTACGAAGGAACCCATGGAAACTTTCCACGCCCATTATCCCCACTCTGGTTAGTTCGGCTTGCCATGGAGAATACCTTCCTGGCTTCAAAGATCCAGTGGCTCTTCCCGTCTTCATCTATCTGGTTCCACCATCGCAGGCCTACCAGGAGTCTTCCGGTCACATTCTGAGAACAGACAAATGACTCTGAGGAGGTCACAGGCAAAGAGGTGTATTCATTGTATTGATAAATAAAAGCTCCCTGGTTCATTTCAGACTTGTACTGGGAGCAGGAAGAAAAAAGGTGTTGAATGGTAATGGATTCTCAGATGTTGCAGCTTCTGATTTTTAACTAAGCTCACTTTAGACACACTCAGCCGGGCATGGTGGCTCACACCTATAATCCCAGGACTTTGGGAGGCCAAGACGGGCAGATCATGAGGTCAAGAGATCAAGACCATCCTAGCCAACAACTGAAACCCCATCTCTACTAGAAATACAAAAATTAGCTGGGCATGGTGGTGCGTGCCTGTAATCCCAGCTACTCAGGAAGCTGAGGCAGGAGAAGCACTTGAATCCAGAAGCGGGGGTTGCAGTGAGCCGGGACTGCACCACTGCATTCCAGCCTGGTGACAGAACCAGATTCTGTCTCAAAAAAAAGAAGTGACACACTCCCTTCCCAAACATACGTAATTTATATGTTCATATTATATATGTTTTAAATATGTGTTAATTCATATACAAGTGATATGGTTTGGCTGTGTCCCCACTCAAATCTCATCTTGAATAGTCGCTCCCACAATTCCCACATGTTGTGGGAAAGACTGGGTGAGAGATAACTGAATCATGGGGGCGGTTTCCCCCATACTGTTCTCATGGTAGTGAATAAGTGTCACAAGATCTGATGGTTTCATAAGGAGAAACCCCTTTCACTTGGTTTTCATTCTCTTATTTTTTTTTTTTTTTTTTTTGAGACAGAGTTTCACTCTTGTCACCTGGGTTGGAGTGCAATGGCACGATCGTGGCTCAATGCAGCATCCTCTGCCTCCCAGGTTCAAGTGATCCTCCCACCTCAGCCTCCCAAGTAGTTGGGATTATAGGCACACACCACCATGCCCGGCTAATTTTTGTATTTTTAGTAGAGACAGGGTTTCACCATGTTGGCCAGGCTGGTCTCAAACTGCTGAGCTCAGATGATCCTCTTGCCTCAGCCTCCCAAAGTGCTGGGATTACAGGCGTGAGCCACCGTGCCCCACCGGCTTCCATTCTCTCTTGTCTGCTGTCATGTAAGATTTGCCTTTCACCTTTTTCCATGATACTGAGGCCTCCACAGCCATGTGGAACTGAGTCCATGAAACTTCTTTGTCTTTATAAATTACTCAGTCTTGGGTATGTCTTTATCAGCATCGTGGAAGCAGACTAGTACAGTAAGTTTTACAAAAAAATCCCAAGTCACTGGGTGTGGTGATTCACACCTATAATCCCAGCACTTTGGGAGGCTGAGGTGGGGTGGAGGGGCAGATCATCTGAGGTCAGAAGTTTGAGACCAGCCTGATCAACACGGAGAAATCCTATCTCTACTAAAAATACAAAATTTGCGGGACGTGGTGGCAGGCACCTGAAATCCCAGCTACTCAGGAGGCTGAGGCAGGAGAATCGCTTGAACCCGAGAGGTGGAAGTTGCAGTGAGCTGAGACAGCACCATCACGTTCCAGCCTGGGCGACAAGAGTGAAACTCCGTCTCCAAAAAAAAAAAAGTCCAAAGTCATATGGGGTTGTCACGTGTGCAAGAATGACAATTGACATTCAAAAGCCATTTAGTAAGCGCTAAACAATGCATCTTTCCCCCTACTTTTTTTTTTTTTTTTTTTTTGAGATGGAGTTTCACTCTTGTCACCCAGGCTGGAGTGCAATGGCACTATCTTGGCTCACTGCAACCTCCACCTCCCAGGTTCAAGGGATTCACCTGCCTCAGCCTCCCGAGTAGCTGGGATTACAGGCATGTGCCACCACGCCCGGCTAATTTTGTATTTTTTAGTAGAGCTGGGGCTTCTCCATGTTGGCCAGGCTGGTCTCGAATTCCCAACCTCAGGTGATCCGCTCGCCTCAGCCTCCCAAAGTGCTGGGATTACAGGCGTTAGCTACTGTGTCCGGCTTTCCCTATTTTTAAGAGATGCCGCTCAGCACTCTTAAGCAATCTAAACCAAAGCACCTCTTGGTCCCACAAGCATAGGGAGCAAGCCCCGTGTTTCAGGAGTGATGGCATCACAGGAAAGGGCCTCACCTTCACAGACCAGAAGTCCAGGGACAGGAGGAGCAGCACCGTGACAAAACAGCCCACAAAGCTCTTGCTGAACCAGTCGCAGCACACGTAGGTGATGATGGCACTCACTCGGAAAAACAGGTGGAAAAAGGTGGCCAAGGGGTGTCTAGGAAAGGACCCAAAAGATGCCCTCATTCCAAGAGCCAAACGGATGGTCACTGAACTCCCTTCGCCACTTCAGACTTTGCTGGGGGCGTTAGCATGGCTCAGTGGAATGTTCTCCCTGGTGCATTGGAAGCAGAAACTCAGGCTGTAGCCCTGAGGATGCCTCATTAAGTCAGTAATCCCAAAACAGTTATGATGACACTGGTTTTTTTTCCCCCGTGCTCGAAGAATCCTGTACTTTCCTGTCACCTGACTCCAAATATCACTTGCCTTCTTCGAAACACGGTCATCTTTGAAGCAAAACGTGACAGCAATCACTGCCTTCCCACTTAGCAGAGATGATGACCAGTTCCCTAAAGGTAAAGGTTGGGTTTTTCCTCATCACATGCAGCCCACGGGGCAGCTGTCTCATGTCATCGGGGATTGTGTGTTCCTGGAGAGAGGGAAACAGCGTGACCTGTGAATGGCAGGTCTAACTCATCATAGTGGTTCAGTGGTGAGTTGCATTTAATCTAGGGGAAGGTAGCTCTTGTTCACTGTGCCTTTAGACACAAACCTGGCCAGAAAAAAGAGCGGGAACCAAAGGGAACGTGCTTATCCTATGTAAATTACTTTTTCTTTTCTTTTCTTTTTTTTTTTGGAGACAGAGTATTGCTCTGTTGCCCAGGCTGGAGTACAGTGGAGTGATCTTGGCTCACTGCAACCTCCACCTCCCAGGTTCAAGCAATTCTTCTGCCTCAGCTTCCTAAGTAGCTGAGATTACAGGTGCTTGCCACCACACCCAACTAATTTTTGTATTTTGAGTAGAAATGGAATTTCAACTTGTTGGCCAGGCTGGTCTTGAACTCCTTACCTGAGGTGATCCGCCTGCCTCAGCTTCCCAAAGTCCTGAGATTACAGGCCTGAGCCACCTCACCCACCCATTTTTTTTAAATGTGAGTTTGAAAGATAAAAGAGTAAAGGGTGGGCCGGGCATGGCGGCTCACTCCTATAATCCTAGCACTGTGGGAGGCTGAGGCATTTGGATCACCTGAGGTCAGGAGTTCAAGACCAGCCTGGGCAACATGGTGAAACCTGGTTTCTACTCAAAATTAGCCAGACGTGGTGGTGGTCGCCTGTAATCCCAGCTACTCGGGAGGCCGAGGCAGGAGAATCACTTGAACCTGTGAGGCGGAGGTTGCAATGAACCGAGATCACGCCACTGTACTCCAGCCTGGAGTTAGACTCCATCTCAAAAAAAAAAAAAAAAAGAGCAAAGTATAAATCATTTCAAAAGGTCACCAAATTGTCTAGAATCTATGGGGTCAAGCAGGTGATGGTAGCCGGTGATGTGGGCCACAATGAAGACACTTGTAGGTTTCTGTTTCTTTCTGTGGCTTCCCAGTTTTGATAGAGCACACAGGTAACGAACAACATTCAGCTATGATCAGGAAATCAATGGCACGAGCCCAGCTGCTACCAGGAAGGGGTCCGGATCCAGACACTAAGAGAGGGTTGTCGGATCTCCCCAAGACAGAATTCAGGGCAAGTCTATAAAGTGAAAGCAAGGTTATTAGGAAGGAAAGGAATAAAGTATGGCCACTCCATAGACAGAGCAGTTCTGAGGGCCACTGGTTGCCCGTTTTTATGGTTATTTCTTGATGACATGCTAAACAAGGCGTGGATTATTCATGCATCCCCTTTTTAGACGATATAGGGTATCTTCCTGACGTTGCCATGACATCTGTAAACTGCCATGGTGCTGGTGGGAGTACAGTAATGAGGACGACCAGAGGTCAGTCTTTGTGGCCATCTCGGTTTTGGTGGGTTTTAGCCAGCTCCTTTACTGCAGCCTGTTTAATCAGCAAGGTCTTTATGACCTGTACCTTGTGCTGACCTCCTGTCTCATCCTGTGACTTAGAATGCCTGAACCACCTGAGAATGCAGCCCACTGGGTCTCAGCCTCATTTTACCCAGTCCGTATTCAAGATGGAGTTGCTCTGGTTCACACACTTCTGACACAGTGATGAATGGCAGTGAGACCTGAAACTCAGGGCAGGGGAGGAAAAGGGAGGGATGAACAGGACTCTTCCTAGCACCAGGCAGCTGTGCAAATGAGACCCAGTACTGCCAGATCCAAGGTTTTCACGAGAAGCCAGAAATCCAGACTTGCAGTGGGAAATTTGATTTTTAAATGATGGCCACTAATTCTTTTACAGAAGTATTCCAGTCTGTGTTTCTCACTTGGCCTGTGAGCAGTGAGCTTGCAACCTCTGGATCAGAGTTAGAAAATCTTGTGGGATTTGGAAAATGAGAGTCAGAATGGGATGGTCACAGAGTTCCACACAAAACTGCAGGGGGAAGAGCCTGCTCCCTCTCCCCAAGAAGAAATGGGGTCAGAGCCAGCAAACCATAGGCACCTATAAAACCATGGAGTTTCTGACAGGGCAAGGTGGCTCACACCTGTAATCCCACCACTTTGGGAGGCCAAGGTGGGTGGATCACAGGATCAAGAGATCAAGACCATCCTGGCCAACATGGTGAAACTCCATCTCTACTAAAAATACAAAAATTAGCTGGGTGTGGTGGTGCGCACCTGTAGTTCCAGTTACATGGGAGGCTGAGGCAGGAGAATCACTTGAACCTGGGAGGTGGAGGTTGCAGTGAGCCAAGATTGCACCACTGTACTCCAGCCTGGTGACAGAGCAAGACTCCGTCTCAAACAAAACAAAACTAAACTCAACTAAACTAAAACGGTGAGGTTTCTGCCTCCCGGGGGGAATGTTAAGGTTCAGAAGCAGACTTCATAGTGACTTTCTGCATGGCAGAGCAACAAACATTCACCAGGATGGTTGTCATCTGAGCTTTCAGGCTCTCAGCTCTCCTGGTGACCTGAATGAAAACCAACCCAGGAAGTGCACCCAGCATTTAAAAATTAGACAGGATCATCAGGCGTGGTGGCTCACACCTGCAATCCCAGCACTTTCAGAGGTCAAGGCAGGCAGATCACTTGAAGTTAGGAGTTTGAGACCAGCCTGGCCAACATAGCAAAACTCCGTCTCTACCAAAAATACAAAAATCAGCCAGGTGTGGCGGCAGGTGCCTGTAATCCCAGCTACTCAGGAGGCTGAGGCAGGAGAATCCCTTGAAGCTGGGAGGTGGAGGTTGCAGTGAGTTGAGATGGCACCATTGCACTCCAGCCAGGGCAACAGAGAGAGTCTTTGTCTCAAAGAATCAGACAGGATCACGCAGAACTTAAAAACTTCCAGAAGATAAGACTCTTGGGTGTCTCCTTTTGCTTTAAACCTTATTGAGAATTTCTTAACTAACTGAACACAGTTTTGTCCCTTGCCCCTAGAGATAAATAAATGCTCTTTCAATAACAAAGTTCTTTGAGGGCACAGGCCATGTTTAACATATTTTTATATACCCAAAAGCACCCAGCATTTAAGATTCTTGGCAAATGTATTTGTTACGTTGAACCTTTTAATCAAGTCAATTAGAACCACTGGAAACGTCTGTCCTCTTTGTAGAACAATACACATGTAAAAACATATAGAGGGTCGTCGGGCACAGTGGCTCACTCCTGTAATCCCAGCACTTTGGGAGGCTGAGGCAGGCGGATCACTTGAGGTCAGCAGTTTGAGACCAACACAGTGAAACCTCATCTCTACTAAAAATACAAAACTTAGCTGGGTATGGTTGTAGGTGCCTGTAATCCCAGCCACTGAGAAGGCTGAGGCAGGAGAACTGCTTGAACCCAAGAGGCAGAGGTTGCAGTAAGCTGAGATTGCACCACTGCACTCTGTTTTGAGAGGGAGTCTCCCTCTCAAAACAAACAAAATATGCCAGGCGCAGTGGCTCACGCTTGTAATCCCAGCACTTTGAGAGGCCGAGGTGGGCTGATCACCTGAGGTCAGGAGTTCGAGACCAGCCTGACCAACATGGAGAAACCCTGTCTCTACTAAAAATACAAAAAAAATTAGCCGGGAGTGTTGGCACATGCCTGTAATTCCAGCTACTCAGGAGGCTGAGGCAGGAGAATCACTTGAACCCAGGAGGCAGAGGTTACAGTGAGCTGAGATCGAGCCATTGCACTGAAGCCTGGGCAACAAGAACAAATACATATATTTGAGAAATATATATATCTCAACAAAGGCCAGAGTGTGCCCCAAATGTGCACTGACCCATGGTAAATGCGGAAGTACATGCATTCAAATAAATCCCCTGCTCACCCACTTCTTTTCTTTCTTTTTTCTCTTTGGCTGTGGCTTTCCTAAAATAAAATGCAGAAAAAATTCCAGTTGTTGATAGCTTCCATTTAGCTGGGCCCTGATTGACTCAGTGGAAGGTGGTGTTATTTAAACAAAGCTCAAAGCCCAAAGCAAGTAGAACAGGATGACTGTTGCCCTTTTAAATGCTGCTTTAATCCTGTTTCATGCAGGTTGCTCTATCAGCATCCTCCAAGTCCTCATTCACCCCCTATCTGGAGTTTGCCCAGCCTGTGTCCCTAGTTAATACCGTGTGATCTCAAACCAGCTTTCCCGTTTTGAGAGTTCTGAAAGTCATGGCTTAGGCCGGGTGCAGTGACTCATGCCTGGAATCCCAGCCCTTTGGGAGACCAAGGCGGGCGGATCCCCTGAGGTCAGGAGTTCGAGAACAGCCTGGCCAACATGGCAAAACTCCAGCTCTACTAAAAATAAAAAAATTAGCTGGCATGGTGGTGGGCGCCTGTAATTTCAGCTACTCGGGAGGCTAAAGCAGGAGAATTGCTTGAACCTGGGAGGCAAAGTTTGCAGTGAGCCGACATTGTGCCACTGCACTCCAGCCTGGGCAACAGAGCGAGACTCCGTCTCAAAATAAATAAATAAAATAAAGAATTAACTTCTTTTAATCTATAACTAAGATCTGAGTCTTGAAAACCTGTCTCTGGCACCTCAGTAAATGTACTTGATCTAAATGGGTCCAGGTGCGCGGTGATTACCCTTATCTTGTCACCTGCTAAATCATGGAGGTTTCCGG